TGCCTCTTTCAACACCTAGGAGAGCAGTAAGCACATTGTCATTTGTGAAATGAATGAATGATCCATAGACTTTTATTTCAGCCAGCAGCTTCAGCCTCTTCCCTTTCCTACCTCTCCCACATTTCCTACTAAAACTGATGCAACTGATACAAATACCCCCATTTGAATTTAATTTTTCCTCCTATCCTTTCCCAATTATAGATGTAGAGCTAATGACAAGACAAATACTATGAGAGCCACCAACAAGGATTGAAGAGATGTAATAACTATCATTAACCAGCAGGGTTGATGTTAGAAGTTGTTTAGATATAGAAGTATTCAGTGTGACATCAAGGAGTTCATTACTATTCTGAAAAGATGGCACTCAACATTATTTTCTTCTGATTTGTTCATGTTTATATCATTTAGTTCATTTCAGACCTCAAATCATCTAAAACTTTTCTGGGACAATTTTTCCAAAGAGAATCTCAAGATTCCAGTAGAAAATTTTAACCTTTTGTCCCGATTATCATGCAAATCAAATGATTGTGTACCTTCTAGACTTATAAACATAATAATGACTCTAAATGCCTATACAGCTCAGATTTTGCATCTTTCATGTGCATTTTTCACCTGATTCAAAGGTAGTTTTACAAATGTTTCATTTAGTCTGTTGAAAATCCTTCCACCTGCTACTGTTAGTTGAATGTGATGGTAACTATATACCATTCTTTGCCTTCCATTGGACTCCTTCAGTGTCTTTATGTGTGAGATTATTGACAGAATTAGATATTATTTTACAGTAGAGTTACAGCTGTCCAAGTTCTAAATAACAGCTATGACTAACCCCATGGGGGAAGATTCCTAATAATTTTCCAAGTTTCTGTGTTAGTGACAGGTTTCATGCATACGCTCAGCTATTAAAGTATTAGAGTTTCTTTGATTTCTTAATCATTAACAACTTTAGCTTTGATTGCCCAGGGAGTTGCAAGCTGTTAAAATTATCATTTGCCTGTTAACTAATTTTGAAACCAAGAGCTGTTTCTTCATTTGATGTAGTACAGGTCTTTCTCAGAGCACACACAGCTCAAGAGCACTAAGAATCTACTATAAGAAAACCTATTCTAAAACAATGAATTTGTAAAATAAATGGGAGTAAAAGCAGAGAATTCTTAAATACTAAAGAGTTCAGTTTTTTAAAAGATTCAACAAAGAATTTTTTTCAGTAGAAAACATATCTTTTTTTTTACAATTTAGTATTTAAATAGTGATTAATTTCTGTTAAAAAAGAGAGAGATAGGAAATCTGAAAGCTGTGTTTCAATGTTAAAAAGTCACTTGAAATTCAATCAGAGCTAAGATAATGTTGGATTATCATGTAAGTCAATGGAATATTAAAAAACATCCTGGAAAAATTCCATTTATACACAGCCTTTTCAAAGTCATGCCCCTACAATACTTTACCCATAGTAAATACTCAATAAATATTTGTTAAATAGATTTGCTATATGTTAAGATCAATTGATGGTGTGATAAAATGAAGTGTTACCTTGAGCATTCATTCATACATTCATTCATTCATCCATCCACCATCCATTCAGAGATAGTTATTTACATTCCAAATGTAGTTTATTGAAAAATTGAAAAATGATGACTTATTTTATAAAAAATGACTTTTCTCTAATGTTATAATTGTATTTCTACAATTGGGCTGAAGGAATTTATTATTGGTCCAAGAAGCTCCTGTGGTCTAGTTCTGTGCGGGCTACTTAAGAAGTACATGAGAAGTTAGTTAAAATAATAAATTTCTAATCCCCATTCTCAAAGATTTTGTTCGGTAGATCTAGGGTGAGCCAAGCATTTGAATTTTTTTTTGAAATCTACTCAGATACTAATATACAATTAGGTTTCAAAACCTAACATAATATCATGTAGAACTGTTTCTTCCAGAAGAGTCAGTTACCATAATTATTTGCTTAGCTTATTTATAGTGTGCCTGAGGTAATGTCAGGGATAGGATGTTTTCCTTAGACAGGACATCAGGAAAAGGAACATCTAGCTTTCCTCAGTTCAGTATTTCTAATTTCTGGTGATTCCTTTTAAGTATCAATACAGTGCCAGGCAATACACTGTGGATATGCCACTACTTAAAGCAGGAAAAGCAAAAGTCAGCACTACCTGGAAGCTCTCTTATACTTATAGGCCAACACTAATACTGTTCTTTATATGAGCCCTATCCCTGCCCTTTCTGATGTCATTCTTTATGTCACAAAGCCCTCCCAAACTTGTCTTCACACCTTTCTCTAAAGAGATAGAATGGAAGTTTCTGGCTTATAGAGGTCCTATTCTTGCTAACCCAGGCAAGCAAGAATGGATACACATAGTGCATCTTCGCCCAATCCATTCAATCTTTCACTTTGTGACCCTTACTCTGACCTTAGAATTAGACCTCTCATTTTACAATTCTGACTGTATTTTCTTTTTTCTTCACCTCTCCTAAGTAAGATTTGTTCTTAAATACTGACCTGTACAGTTTCTCCAGAATTAATCAACTTATTTCCTTTTCTTCTACAAGCTAATCTTGATGTATTTTCCATCTCCTGTATAATAGAATGTACCTCTAATCAGTCCTTCCCACTCAATATCATTATTATTAAGCATAATCATACATTAATTGTAATGTATTGTGGCTTTGAGTGCTTATTAAAAAAATCTCTTTCTCGTTTGGAACTGCTGCTGTCTACATCTTTCTAAGGAAGCAGATAATTTTGCTTGCAGACTACAGGCTTGCTAAGCACTATGTGCAAGTAGACAGTGACATAGCATCTGTCAGATGTCTATATGTCAGTCTAAGATGAATATATGTCATATCCTTTTACAGTCCTTGATATTTGTGCCTATTAAACATCTGTAGTATATTAGATGCTGTGCAGGATAAAGCATAGCTGGGCAAAGTCTAATAATTACTGTCTCATCCTATACTGAAAGTTAATATAATTGAAGACTATAGGAAATACTTCCATTTTTCTCTTCTCCAGAGTAAATATTTCAAATCCCTTTAACCACTTTTGTTTATTAACTCCATGAACCCCAAACTCCATGAATGTAAATGAAGAAACATGGTTAAACAATTTTAGCCTCTTTTATTAGCAATATAAAACTTCACAGCTGAAAAAAGGAGGCTAAAATCAAATGAAACCTGGAATGGATCAATGAGGACAAAAGCGTCCCTAAATACATTCCCTAAAGATAAAATCATTCAAGTCTTCTAGAACAGACTGGCTAGCAACTGCTGCCCCACACAAGTACCCCAAGTTCTTGCCTCACAAAGATTTTTTTTTTTTTGCCTCTGTAAGATGATTCTTTAAGGAGGAAAAACAAATCAGGAAAACATTCAATTTTTTAGAAATGGCACTTCTAGCACATCACAATACTAACCCTTGTGTTATCTCTTGGTGTGGCCCCAATTGAAGAGTTCTTCCAGATTTTTTTTCCATTAATGAAAAGAATAGGTTTGAGTTCTTTTATATCATTAGAAAATAACAACCAACATTTTGGTCGTACAGGATCAGCACTCAAATGATAACAAGAATGAGTGTGTTGTACCCTTTTTTCACCCTGTTCATCTTCTAACTTTATTTTTGCTTTTCATATAGTTCTTTGTGAGATGCTGTCACATAAGAAATACATGTAAATGTCATTATGAGTGACTTTGCAGTTTTTCGTGGAAATTTCATTTATCTAAGTCATAATTAATAACATTCAAGATTGAATCATTTCCTAAGGCAACCTCAGCGTTAGTTTGTGCAGTGTTTCACCAGGTCCGTTCATTTTCTATCTGTTGTCAGAGTGCAGGCATCTTTGAGTGTATCTTGTTCATGTAGTGGGGACATTGTTACTTACAGTAACTTCATATTAATGATACAGTTAACTTATGGTATCAGTGTACGAGTCAAGTATCTGGATGGTGAGAATATTAGGTGGTTCTGTTTATAAATATAATTAGAAATGGGAAAAAATGGAAGGACAAACAACATAACGTGCATGATGATATCTCTAGGTAATAAGCTCATTGTAGATTTTAACTTTTTCTTGCGTTTATCTGTTTTTTTAAATTTCTAAAATGAAGAAAAATATGAAATCTCAGAGAAAGAAGAAATTATAGTTGCTGCTTATTTCTTACTTTGCATTTGCTTATCCTAGGAGACTTACCTATGCATTCTTTGTATGCGGTATTTCTCTCCCAAGCAGTCTTTCCCTTCTTGCCCGTGCTGCTGAAGCATATTTTCTCTATTTTAGCAGTATGGAATGTTCATGAGTTTGTATAACGAGGACCTAAATATAAATACATAATTGTAGCTGACTTTGATTCTTTTTATTTTTTAAATTTGATAACCTAGGTTTGTAGATGGATTTTTGCATGCATTTTGCTGCAAGCTGATGCTTATGGTCTTTGTATTTGCAGATGTGGACAGGAGTCAAAGGAGATGAATGTGTTGATATGCATGGGAGGCTTTAGGTGATATGAAAAACAGTATGGCAGAGTTTGTAGGCTGAATCATATTTTGGAGATATAAATTAAATGAAAGCCATTCATTAACATTTCTCAGGCCCAATGTCCTAGATCTTAATTCAGATTAACATCCCAATGTATTTAACATGTTTCTCCCTTGATCCATTGGCCATTAAAAGTTATGTTCAAACTGTGTATTAAAACTATAATCATGGACATCTTTGCTACTGCTGTCCAAAGAAATACCTCATAACACTTTCATTCTTAGCTAAATTTCTGAATTTTCGAAAATGGGTCCCCTTCCTAAGCCCCTCCCCTTCTTTTTCCTTTTTACAATTTAAAAAATTTCTTCATCCTAACTTTATGAGACTGTCAAGGAAGAAACTCTTACAACTATCATAAGACATTAAAGAAGACAGAACAAAATTGAATGCCTTGGGAGTTTTGTGTAGTACAAAAAAGCAAGGAATAATTTGGTTTATTTGTTTTTTCCCATCTAATATTTTTAGGTACAAGCCTATGCAGAAAGTGGATGGGGTTGCAGATGGTTTCACAGGAAGTGGTCAACAGACAGGCACATCTGTTGAGCAAACTGTAATTGCCCAAAGTCAACATCATCAACAGTTTTTAGGTATGTTAAGGTGTAATGCATATTAGTTGCTATCAGGATTTTGAAAACAAGAGAACAACAGTAGTGTTTTCTCCAAGTACAATGTCTATCACAGATGTTAATTACATAGATTTTTTTTGTGTGCTGAAACTATGCACATTATATGATAGTTCTAGTTCATTTCTACTTTTTCATAGAAAAAGAGCTTATTTTTTAAAATCTCAAGCTATGTAGAACTTCTAAATGCATCTGAATTAAAGGCTTATTTCTATGAAATTGTTTTCCAGAATTTGTATTAATTGGGCATTTATGATCAAAATTGTGTGGTAGTTTCAGTAGTAACTTGAAGTGCCAAAAAGAATTCTCATTTCCTGCGTATAAAGTTGCATATGCATATAGTCTCAGATTAGAAAAAATTATTATAAACTTTTAAAAAGTAATTTATTCTTTTAAATTGATCACAGTATTTGCTACTTTTGTAGTTTTATAGATGGTATGCATGTTTCTTGTTATTTAAAGAGTTAAGGAAGTGGAACTTGAACATTTTGCATATTCCTGTCGTAGCTAAAGGTGCAAAAATGGCACTTTAATTAACAGCTCTTCTAGAGATGAACATGCATAGTTTCGGTACAACAGATCAAGATAAGTAGAAGCTCTCAGAGAGTGCGTGTGTGTATGTGTCTGTGTGTGTGTATATGTGTCTATGTGCACTTTCTGACAAAGACAACTGAAATGTACTCTGGGGTCAGAATGGCTACTGAAGTTGAAAGCATTATGGCAGCATTCCCAAACTAGTGTCCTCAAGTATATTCTTGTAGACCCTTGAGCTCTCAGCAAGAATCTTTATGTTTTTTATTTTGTGTCCTTATTTCAATTATAATCTTAAAAAAAAATAAAAGCATATTCTGGATTACCTGGAAGACTAGAACGAATACCGTTCTGCAATTTTAGTTTCCACATTTGTATTTGAATTTATCATAAGGTTGGCACCAAAGTGTATTGCATTAATTGTCCAGAGCCAATGAGAAAAGAACAGAGAGAGACTTACTGTGTAAATTATGCCTTCATACCAAGGGAAGGCTAAATGATGTCCCAATGCTCTGTGTAGAGGAAAGTTTCACAGCTCATTTGAATATAGAAGCATAATGGGAGAACCAGCCATCATGAAGTACGTGTTGGTATAGGGTTATCAAACTCAAAAGATCCTGCGCTGCAGCAGTCAATACCATATTCATGTTGCAAGAGGTAATTTAGTTACAGGACAACAGCATCATCTATCATATCAAATTAATGTTGTTAAGTTTAATGTTATTTTTTTAGGTTTCTTTGTACTTATTTTGTAGGTCTTTTGGTTTATGATTATATGAGAGGTATAAGCATAATAAGTTTAAAGCTAGATTTATTTTTATATACCTAAGTAATATAATGATAAAAATAACTAAAATTGATACTGGCCAGCTCAAGGTATTTTTCTTATCAGAGGGGTCCTATATTGAGAGACACTGAGATGTGTTATTTCCAATATAATCATAGTGAAAATTTAGTTTCTCCAGAATTTTAGAAGTATCCTCTCTATTCTTTGGTGCTGCTGCTGCTGCTAAGTTTTGTTTATAAAATACTAATATGAAAAGTCCTTGCTTTTTGGACCACTGACCTTTAAATTTTTTTCCTTTTTAATCTTCTTAAATTTGCCCTCATTAAGCTGTAATTGGCACCATCCACAATAACTTTTTTTCTGTTGTGTTGTCATGGTAACAGATGCATCTCGAGCACTTCCAGAGTTTGGAGAAGTTGAAATCTCTTCTCTGCCAGATGGTACTACCTTTGAGGATATCAAGTCACTGCAGAGTCTTTATCGAGAGCACTGTGAGGTAAGTCTTTTCAAACACAGTCGGACACGTGCTAAGTTTTGCCAGGCAACTTGCTAAAGCAAAATAATGAAACATATTCCTAGAGGACAGATAAAGTTACTTCATATTTCTTTGAGCACTAATAAGTTATCTTTTCTTCATGTCTCGGGGAGAATAAATTTTACTTTCCATCTTCTTAGCCTATTCTAATACGAATCCTTTGATGAAGCAATTCCACTTCTAGGTACTCCTTCTAGAAAAATGCTTACATGTAGGGGAAGAGATAAGTGTACAGGGAACTTGTTGCATTATGGTTTTTAATGAAAAAGATTGCTTATAACTTCAATATCTAACAGGGAACTGAATAAATAAAATATGGTATGATCTATAGAGTAGAATGCTATGCAGCCATTAAAAAGAACAGGCAACTCTAAGTGTACTTTTTGGAACAAGCTTCAGGATTTGTTTTTAAGGGAAAAAGCAAGATGTAAAACAGCAAGTATAATATATTATCATTTGAGTGAAAAAGAACATGTTATATACATCTCTCCAGAAGAAAGAACAAAATATTAATGCTGGTTGCCTTTGGGAACAAAACTTAGTGACTGGGAGTCAGGGGAAGGAGACTTAATTTTCCAATATACTCTTTTTACCTTTTGAATTTTACATGATAGCTGTGTATTTCTATCCAAACTATTTTCTAGAAATGTTTTATAAAGCACTTTAGGTGTTCCTTCCAGGGATCATTGAGGCTCTAGTTTTGTTTGTTTTGTTTTCATGGTTAATTAAGTTTTCTCTCGGTGTTTTCCATCCCTACTCCTACTCCCTTTCTGAGTATCCTATATCAAAATTGGCTACGTTGTCTCCAGGAGGTGAACTCTCTCCAAGCCCGCTCGTACCTGCAGCTCACCTGGTAGAAAGAAGATAACAGATTGCAATAAGAGTCTTCTAAAGTACCCCTCCTTTTGAAAGAGGAACTGTTTAGAACTTAAGTAGCTTTATTCCAGGGCTATTTATGATCTACTTAGAAGTAAAAGATAATCCTTGGGCAGTCCTCCTGACTGCTGACAATGCAGTATGCAGTGAGAAGTCTCAGCTCATAACATTCACAGATTTTTTTTCCCACTCCAGAAATAAGAACTGCTTGAGTGAATCTGAGTACTTGTCAGGGGTGCCAGATTATTAACAACCAAGGGCAAGTTCTCTCTTTATTAACAAACTGTGTGCCAGAAGTGTTTTTCAACATGTCCTGCCAGTTTGTTGTTCCCAACATTTCTTGTTATGATGAAAAACACTTACTATCTGTTTCTCTTTGACTGCTTTTCCCAATATTAGAGAATTTCTGGATGATCCTTACCTATCTAGAAAAAAATTTCTCTTTCTTTCTGCATGAATATCATGTATATTCAATGAAGATTTACGTAAAGATTCTCTAATCAGTTTCTCATTTCTCTGTGTTCAGGTGAACCTTGCTTCAAGCAACCCCGCCTACACAAATATAATTTGGATTGTTTTCAGTTGCTCATATTTATTCAAAATATAACTTGGAGCATGATTATTTACATTACTAAAGAATATACATTAAAATTAATCTAAATGAAAAATTCCCCCAATAAGATGAAAATATTCTTTGGGTTACAAAATTTTCATTAATTGTCAGGAATACTCTATATGAAGAGATATGAACATATATAGTAATTAATCTGCATGGGAAATGGCAGTTCATAGAATGATCCTCATTTATTTCGGAGTTACCAGTGTTCGTGCCATCTCTCATGGGGCATAAAGACATATATGAAAAGGAAGAATTCTAATTATTTTTTCCTGTCACACTTCCAAACTTTTCAAGGACAGGTGCCTGAGTCTCGGATCCAGTCCTGTAAATGGTTGTTTGCCCTAAGCCAGTGAAATACAGATTATTTTAAACTATATTTGGCATACATTTTAGTTTGAACATATTTAAAAGTGGGTGGACAAATGATAAAATGTTTTATTCATTTGTAAAACTGACTAAATGTGGCTGATATGAATGTCCTTTTCAGAAGAATTATTTGAGATTATTTCATTTGAAGAGATACTTAATTTAAGGTGCACTGAATTTGTGACTTGCCTTATTTTATTTCATATTTCCTATAATTTATGTTTTTTAAGAAAGATTAATGTACCCATTTTGGCTGTTATTTGGAATTTGCACAGTTGGCTTATCAAAGATATTTTGGAAGTATCACTAGTTATGTAAGGAACAAATATAATTTTCTACACAAGATGCTCTGACAGTCATTTTTTTCTTTTAATATATGCATAGTGTCCTTACAGCAATCTCATAGCTAGAAATATGTAAGGTATTATATCAGATATTACTAATTGCTTCATTAATAGACATCTCTCAGAATGTGCCTAAACTACATTTGGGAAAGCAGCTATAATAATTTGCCTCCTGAGAAGGTTTTGGGTTTTGCCTGGGAGCAAGGACATCTGGATGCCTTTCCTTCCACGGCTTGCTTTTGTGTTTTTATTGTTGCTGATATTAAAGGGTGAGGAGAGTGTTAATTAATTAGTCCCCTTCCCTCCATTTTCATTTTCCAACTACCTGCAACATTTCCTACTAGTTCCCAGAACGTGCCCCCAAACAGATTTTGCTTAATACTTGAATTGGTCTCAGAGTGTTTTTGTATAGAACATCAATTATTCTCTGTATCATGCACAGGGCCAGATCTACACGGGTAGCACAGACTCCAGAATTACAAAGTTACAGTTTCCTCTTTCTGCCTTAAATGTTCAGATTGATTCTCTCGATTGCCCCTTGCTGTCTCTTAGCTTCTAATAATTTTGCAGATCTTGAAGGGACTGTTTTACGTGTTTTTATTCTCAGTGCTGATGACATCAAACACATTATACTGAGGACTTGTCTTTTATACTGAAAATAATCACAGAATCACGTGATCTTTGTACAAACAAGTTTTGGTTTTATGACTGCTTTTTATCTGAAGGCGAATTTGCAGACTAATTGCAATGGCAGGGTGAAATTAAATATCATCAAAAGTTAATGAAAGTGGCAAATTTTAGCATCATCAAAAAAATAAAAATGTCCTTGATGCAGCTGGAGATCTAAGAGATAAAATTAAGGAGGAGGAGGTGAGGGCCCCACCCCCGAGGTTAGAAAAGGGGATAGTCTTATAGCTTCTCTCTAAAGGGTGTATGCTGAGAGAGGATTGAATGTAAGCCATTCTGTAACCACAGAGAGGTGCTTGCTGTGCTTTTCTTCTGCCAAGACAGGCACTACCCTCTGGAGGTCAGCCTGACTCTGTAGTTTCTGCCCTCAGCCTCTGCTTGGCTAGGAACACTCCAGAACCGATGGTCAGCAACCCTAACCAGAGCTGATTGAGCCCTAACTCCGTCTGCCATACACAAGCACCTCCATACCCTTCTCTTCTGCTTTTTTTTTTTTTTTTATGGCTAGTGGACACAGCTAGTCCAGTAAAGACTGATGTGAATTGAATGTATGTTCTGTGTCCCTGTGGATCTGAGAATAGTAAGGGAACCGGGGAAGTAGTGGGTTAAGGAATGAAAGAAAAGTTAGGGAAGCAAGCATAAAAATGGAGAGAAAAGAGAGGAAAAAGTAAGGGTGGGACGTGAGGTCATTCTGGGGGGAATACAAGTTACCCTGCTTAATCATTTAAGAGTTATTTCCCCCGGTTTTTTCCTAGCTAATCTCTTTTGTTTTCCCATTTCCATTGGCAAAATTTAGTCCAGTTTTACCATATTAATTTATGAACCCAAAAGTATCTTTATATTTAAGTCTTGTTTCAGTATGTACTTCTCACACATCCCCATAAGAAATTTTGTAAGGTAATATCAATAACCATTTTGTTTTTTAGGCAATATTGGACGTTGTTGTGAATCTTCAATTTAGCCTGATAGAAAAATTGTGGCAAACATTCTGGCGCTATTCTCCCTCTACTCCAGCTGACGGCACTACCATTACTGAATCAAGGTCAGAATCAATATGCTTTTCCAATTCATTTTCATGGCTGAGTAGATGTCACAGCTAACAAATTAGAGATATGTATACCAGTTGTGAACCTTACCTGATAACATTAATTGAATAGATTGAAATAAACCACAAACTACTCTTTTGAGGTTTCAGCGTGTGTATTATAGCTCCCATTTATATTGACTTGGGGGACTGCAGTAGAACTATTTCATCCTCATGGAATTAGTATCATATCTGCCTTTCATACCGTCAGAAAGTATTAACGTGCATAGGCAGCTCTGGGGGAGTGTTATATATATCCAGCCGTGTGGCACCAGGGCAATGGTGGTATAGTTCTAACCTCAGTAATATTTGATAAACTAAAACTATTTTTAAAGTCCATTTTCTTTTTTATCCTCATTTGCCATCTATTCATTTGCTACATTTATTCACACCAGCAATCTGAGTGAAATAGAAAGTCGACTTCCGAAAGCAAAGCTGATAACTCTGTGCAAACATGAGTCTATCCTGAAATGGATGTGTAACTGTGACCATGGGATGTACCAGGCTTTGGTGGAGATTCTCATCCCCGACGTCCTTAGACCTATTCCTAGTAAGTTAAATGCAGACAAGTACGGATGCTTTTGTTCTCATACATTCCACCCAGGAAGTTTTGGGTAGTGACGTTGCAAACTAGAGTGATTCTAATCTCATTAAATTTGCCAAATAGAAAACATGCAACACAGAGTATTGCATGAAAGCAGCCTAGAGCAAAACTGTAGTAAAAAGGGAAAAATTCTCTGTTTTTCAATCTTTCATTTTCTTTTTGACAAAAAAGACAACCTATAGATGTGACAGCCCCAATGACTAATTGCAAGAACACTCCCAGGCCAGTCAACCATGTGAAAATCATTCTACCCAAGGAAAAGGTTTCCTTCATAAAGCCCTGAATTTTTGAAATCTGTAATTGCTAGACCAGCCTCTTTCATGTTTGCTTTTGATTTGAAATGAATTTATCTTGGTTTCTACTGAAGTTGAATTTCTTTATAAAAGCATTTACTTTGTCACCGACATCACGTTAAGAACTACAAATGCAGTTTCCATTAACAGTAATGGTTAGCTGGCATTTTGAGAGAAAAATCAATGTACCTGCACTAGCAGTGTATTCCTGCCATGAAGCAAATAGGAATTACATAGATAAATTAGATTACTTTTTTAAGTGATAGTGTTTTTTAAACTACCCTGTTGCAAACAAAGCTATTTTTTGCAAGTGTCAATATAAAAGCCATCATGGATACTTGTGTTAGAGACAGTTGAAATGATTTTAGGTCTACATCTTTATGAGCACCTACTGGTAACCTTAACTTTTAAAGATATGGAACAGAATTGCTACTCTACAGTGACATTAATAAGGTAAAAGCAATCTTTTAGCTTGTAAAATTAGCAGCCGTGTACTCAAAGTACACTCTTCACAGTTAATTTGTGTTAAATTATTCCAGAAAATATTTAAATAGGGATTTAGCAAGAAATGGTGAAGATACTAACATTTGTATGTTTATACTTTCTTTTTTAAAATATGATAACAGTGGAAGATATGAGTTATTTCATATGTTCCCTACCAACTTAAAATATATGCTTAGACATACATTTACATATAATATCAATGAACACACACATAAACATACATAAATTTATATAGAAATTAGTTTTTTAAAAATCCAGCTTCCATGGTCTCACATTTTTATAAATTACTAATATTTTCTACCCTATCTGCACCAAGTTTCCTGACTAAAGATTGATTAAAAGTGATGTTGTCATGGAAAATTTCAACGTGTAAATTCTCTACTGATTTATGTTCCAGAATCTGATTTTCCTGTTTTTGTCTTGCTTCCTGTGCTCTGAGTGATAATCTCTAGAGATGTTTAAGAGAAGTTGCATAGGGTAGTTCATTAGCCTATGACATCTTGCCACCAACATAAATTTCTCTCATGAGATATAAGAAAAGGTGTCAGTGAACGCTTTCTTTTTTGAGGCCAGTCAACAACATCAGTGTTCATTAAACAATTCTAAAATCTGTTGCTTTTATGTTAGCATCACAAGACTTTAACTTGTAAACTCAGCAGTTCCCTAAGTTAAATCACGTATCAAGTGTAGTTGGCTTTAAACCCCAGAATTTTTAAGCACACAATACCCATGACCTTTGTTTTTGGCAAATTTTGATTTGAAAACCGTTTTATTTTGTCAAGTAGTTTGCCTCTGCATTCAGACAACTCAAATTCAGGAATTATGAATATAGTTTTACAGTTTCTCTGAAATTACAAGATGCATTAAGGTGCCACCCTACCAAGTAAATTTGGAATTTTAATTCCTGTTCTATAACAAGACTTAACAAAAATAAAGCTTAAAATACAGTGTAGATCACTATCTTCTGATTGTGCATTTTAATATTAATCGTAAGCAGGTTGAGACAAGTTAGCTTTAGAGTAGTTTTAAATTTCTAAACATCCATTCATGAGAAAAAGTTGTCAATCTGCACAATTTGATCTGACATGAATCCCTATAGAGAGAACAAACTTAATTTTATTTTTGAAAATTTAATTTTCCTGGCTACTAGTACTTCACTCTACCATTTACTGTCCAGATGGGATTCCTTTTTTTAGCCAAAAAAGTCTGCATATCACACTAATTTAAAGTCAGCTTGAAGCTACTATACTCTAAAATACATTTATCTGAAAATGGGGAAAAAAAAGTGAAGTGTAAAAAACTGTGTAAGAACTCAACTGGTAACACTCAAATGTACAATTTATGATTATAATTAAAGGTGACCCAAAATGTCATTTAGTACAAAAAAGGAAAAACTTACAATCATTTGAGATACAAAGCATATCTTTTTATTTTACAATCTCCCTAGCATTAAATGTGTCTAAATAAAACAAGACCCATATTAAATTTTTTTAAGTAACTTTTCTCAGTTCTTGTTTTTTTCAGATTAAATAATTATTATATATTAATTATAGAAAACTACATAATACAGATAGCCAAATTGAATCTTATACAGAATTTTACTGAGTTTCAAAGAGGGTCTTTAATTTTTTTTTCCACTGTTTTTCATTTCCATTCATGCCTGCCCTCCATGGTTCCAGTACATAATACAACAGAAAAATATTTTTCTTTCTTTTTTCTTTTTGGCTGAAGTGAGAAGCTTTGGAAATTTCAAAAAATTAGTTCTCAAGAAATTTCCAGCTCAGTGTTTCCAATAGATGATTCTCATGGTTAAAAGTCTGCACTTCTTGAGTGTTTTTCCTAATCAAAATGTAGCCATCTCAGTTTCTCTTCTGTCATTTGACCACTTAAAGAAATAATTTTTAAAAATTAGTTGTTTTTATTATTGGAATAGTAAAATTTATATCTTTTGCATTTAATTTGAGTAAGTTAATTATTTGTAACCCTGCTTTAACAAAAGTAGTAAAGAAGCATGTCAGACTCATTTGAGCACAGAAAGAAAAACCAAGGAATTTAATCCCATCGTTAACATTAATATTCTTGGGAGCCTTGGACAAAAATGTAACCTCTCTGTCTCTTATTGTGGACTACCAATTGTAAGACTTACCCACATTATAGGGAACCCACAGGGATTTATTTTCTGTTGTGGGTGCTTCAAACACTTACTTATTAAATGTCTAAAACTGCTCCCTACACCGTGGAGCCTTGAGCACAGGTGAAGTAAAATGCTACTGACTGAATTACTTGTTGAACAAGAGAAGAATTCTGTTTCCTATTATACAGCCATCTCAATAAGCAGATCCGTTCTTATAAAATAGTCATAATCACCCCTGTTAACGGAAAATGCTTCTAATCATTTTATGACCACCATAAACACTACTCTCATGGGACCTATCCCTATTCAGGTTTTAACAGAGATGTAAAGAGTATGGAATGGACTGTTTTAGGAATATCTTAAGAATATTGGCCTCTGTGACAGCAATTGTATTATCACAGTGATCTTTTATCGCTACCTGCCAGTGAAATGGAGAATAGTTACCCAGAAGTATCAAGGCAGGCAATTTTAATTTTACCTTACTTTTCAACATGAGTGAGAGATATCTACTCTAATTGACATGTTCTAATGTAAAGAGATGCATAGAGAAAAAGAGAAAGCTTTGCATTATTTTCTTTTTAACTAAAGAAATGAAAATAGGTTAAGAGCTTGAAAAAAGTCAAGATAAAGAATTTCTAAAGAAAATACTTAGCCTTTGAGCACAAAGCTGTTTTTGAAAAGAGTGTTTTGTCTAAGATAAAAAAATTCCATAAGTATATTCACAACTGGTATATGTTGCTATAAGCAAAAATGTTTGAATGTTTTCATTTCCCAACAAAGTATCATAAGTATCTGGGAACAAAATAGCTTTAAAAGACAAGCCCATGATATAATATTTGGATTCTTTCAAAGTTAGGAATAATGTTAAATAAAGTCTTGTCAATGAGGATAATATAAGCTCTGTGCTATTTCACATGTTGTGCTTGCATGTTTTCCCTTATTCTAGCATAAAGATTAATGTTCTTTGGTATCTTTTTCGTTCTGCTTTTATTCTTTAACATTTAGGTGCCTTGACCCAAGCCATTCGAAATTTTGCAAAAAGCCTTGAAGGTTGGCTTTCCAATGCCATGAACAATATTCCACAGAGAATGATACAAACCAAGGTACACTTTTATGTCCTTGCTTTTCCTTTGTGTTTAGGAAATCGTTATGAACTATGAATTTTAAATCTGTCCTATCAAATGATATTATGTAGAATATTAATATTATAATAAATTAAATCTTTTTAAATTGATTTTTGTATTTGTATTTTATAACCATGTGGTAAAGAACTTGCACAAGATATGTTGTTTGATGATGCTCTTTCCAGAGAGACTAGAGAAACATTTTAGATGTGGTGTATTTATCAGCCCTTTTCTAAAGTGTATATTTAAGATTGCTTAATTTCAGTTATTGAAAAGAACAGCCTAGGATGTTCAAATAGTTTCCATTTGAGTTTTAGAATTTTTAGGTCCCCTACTATACTCATTGTATTCCGAAATGTTCATGTAAATTAATAACCATTTGCTTTTCAGGATGTTTTGGTTTTTTAACAGTGGAGAATGCTTTTGTGAATCAAGTAATCATTTTTTTAAAATAAATTTATTTTATTTATTTAATTTTGGCTGCGTTGGGTCTTTGTTGCGGTGTGCAGGCTTTCTCTAGTTGCCGCGAGCAGGGGCTACTCTTTGTTGCAGTGCGCGGGCTTCTCATTGCCGTGGCTTCTCTTGTTGCGGAGCACGGGCTCTAGGTGCGTGGGCTTCAGTAGTTGTGGCTCGTGGGCTCTAGAGCACGGGCTCCGTAGTTGTGGTTGGCGGGCTCTAGAACATGGGCTCAGTAATTGTGGTGCATGGGCTTAGTTGCTCCACGGCATGTGGGATCTTCCTGCACCAGGGCTCGAACCCGTGTCCCCTGCACTGGCAGGCGGATTCTTAACCACTGTGCCACCAGGGAAGCCCAAGTAATCATTTCTTAAAGAGAACAGTTATATCATAGTTGATGAGTATATTTCAGGAATGTGGATTATTTAGCTAGAGATATGAATTCTCCTCTCCACTTTGTCCCCTACTAACCATGTTACTTTAGGTTAATCTGTGAACATACATGACAGATTGGACTGATTCTGTCTAAACTTTGATAACAAAAATCACATTTGTGGCCTTTTGTCAGGGTCTGTATCTACTGTCAGATGCCAGCAATATGCCTTGGCTTTCAGTTTGAGAGTGTAATTGAAGCTCTTGTAGCTGACAAGTCTGTGATAGCACAAGTCTGCTTCAGCTTAAGGTTTGCAATAACACATTCTATCTCTAAAATGTATAGGACACATTTCATGAATATGCCCACCTTAGATTGTTGCTTTAGAGCTGTGCTGTCAATACAGTAGGGCTAACCACATGTGGCTATTTAGATTGTAAATTTAATTAAATTGCATTGAAATTTACTTCCTCAGTCACACTAGGTACATTTCAAGCGCACCTTAACCCATGTGGCTAGTAGTTACCATACTGGGTAACACATAAGTAGAGCGTTTCCATCATTGCAGAAAGCTCTCCATGGTAGTGCTTTTCTAGAGTGCCACGTTCAGGTGGGCAAATAAAAGAGGTGCTATTTGATTATGATGGTCAGAGGAATGTTTTCCAACTTGCAAAGTCAGTCATAGTTATAACAATACTTACAAACAGCTAAAAGTACCTCCTGCCCCAGTGTCATCAAAGTGGATCTGGTAGCAATCCATCTGCAATATGGGCCATCTCACTGATCTCTAGAGTTGATTTGGGTGGTTTACCTCGGAGGAAGGTGCCTTCTGCTATTCCTCTCTCACGGACATGCAGCCTTTTTTCAACTGAGCATTTAATCAACAAAGATGATCTAGTGTGACAGTGGAAACAGCATAATGAGGTTGTGACTGAAAGTTATTATCAAAATGCCTGGATTCATATCCCACCACTGTACTGTAGTTTCTGTGTAACCTTGAGCAAGATCGTTAACCTCCCTAAGTCATAACATGTGTCTAATAGAATGTTTATGAGAATTGAGCAAGGTAATGTATGTTAGGCATTTAACACAGTGCCTGGCACGTGATATGTCCTTGATTAGTATAAACCACAGAGATGGGAAAATGTGAAATACTCTCTTTGGGGGTATGTGAACGTCCCCCAAGTTCCACATGGTCCTGAAGCATCTCACTATCAAGATAGAACATCCTTTGGCCTGTGGAACACCTTCTACTGCTCAGCCAACTGACTGTTCAATCAATTGCTTGTTATATACCCATAGTGATTTAATGTCATTCCTGTAAATATGTTAAAGTCCTCATTAGATCTGCTATGCAAGTAACAAATTTTCATGAGATCATGAGATTTAGATATTTACCTAGACTTTTTCTTTGTTGTTAGCTTTGCTATCTTTCAATATAACCCAGTTTGTTCAGGGTTTCAGCAGGAAAAAAATGGTATATCCAAAGGGGAGAATAATTGAATAGAGTTTAAGGGTCTGTTTCTAAACATGTGAAAAGAGTTAAGAAAACCAAAGAGGAATGGTACAGCACCCCAGGACTAGCAAAATAGTGGGAAGCCTGCCCATCCCTAGGTCTGAAGGGGAAGGAAGTGATTATGGCATCAGATCTTCTCCTTCCTCCAGAACTGTGGCCTTACGAAGGAGAGGGCAAAGGTTGTGAGGGAATTAGTAGTTTGACTACTTTCTTCCATCCTTCAGTCTCCTACCAGTGCCTTTCATTGGCCAAACCCAACTGGAAGCCAAAGGGCAAGAGAGGCAGTTAATGTAATCTATTCAGTTTAGTCTTCCTGGGCACAGAGCAGAATGGAGAAGGCCGGAAAGTATATTTTGAAGGACAAATGGAGATTTTTCTGGATAGCCCTTTTATAGAAATTCAAATTCTGAAGAGTTGCTTGTATCCGATAAGTTTATTAGCTATGTATTTGCTAATAAAGTCTTTGAGTGTTCTTATTTCACCTCAGAATTACCCACTCCTATTTCACCTCTATAAAATAAAGGTAAAAAGAGTGAATCTTAATGACAGTGCTCTGAAAAGCATGTTTTTTAATCCAGTTTAAAAAGTGGGACTGGATAGTGTGGTTTTCCAAGTAAAAGGAAAAAAAATTTTATTTGCTTAGTTTGTAGTTGACTGTCGTACAGAGAATAAGAAATGAAAATCAACATTTCTCCTACTTGTTTCGACTAAATAATTTCTTGCTATGGATTAGTAGCTACTTGCAAGACTGGTTTAATTAATGGTGCACTCAGATGTCGAAAAATGTGGGAGTTTGTTTTAGCCTTGACCTCAGCCTACTCAAAAGGAAAGTAATACTTGGTTTAGAGGTTTAAATGCTATAATTTACAAGTAAGCTCTCTCACCAAATGAATTTGAAATAAGTATCAGAGGGAAGCATTTAAAATTTGGCAAGGGAATAAAGATTTAAAGATTGCAGTGGTTTCTTTTACTGGAGGGGAAAAAAAAATCCCCACTTAATTGGATTTCTTTACAGGTTGCAGCTGTAAGTGCCTTTGCCCAGACTCTGCGAAGATACACGTCGCTCAATCACCTGGCCCAGGCAGCTCGTGCAGTGCTTCAGAACACTTCTCAGATCAACCAGATGCTCAATGACCTCAACCGTGTCGACTTTGCCAATGTCCAGGTACTCTGTTTTCTTTCAAAACGTGTCTTTTAATGAAAGGTATCCGATTTTTTCTTCTTAATTGGGATCATCATATTTCTTTTCAAAGTTACATCAATTCACAGGCACATCTAGATTCACAGTATCCTGAAAGAGGAGAGTTTTACTCAGCTACGGCTTTACTCCTCTGTTTTGCGGTTAAAGTCTGCTAATATTTATAGTGCTAGATAGCAACATATGTCACCAGGGTTTGCTGAATGATTAATAGAGTAATGATGACCACAGTCAGTGAAGTTTGGTAGGCAGGAGATGAAACGCTTTCATCTACTAGCTGTGGCGTCTTGGGCAAGTTCCTTAACTCTTCTGGGCTTTACTTTCTCCATTTTATAACACATATCTTAGATTACTGTTTACATATTTAGTAATATGTAAAGCCCATAGCACCATGACACGCACACGAGAAATTTGTTTTCAAAAGTGCCCCACCTTGGTTCATGCCCCGGTCCGGGAGGATCCCACGTGCCGCAGAGCGGCTGGGCCCGTGAGCCGTGGCCGCTGGGCCTGTGCGTCCGGAGCCTGTGCTCCGCAGCGCGAGAGGCCACAACAGTGAGAGGCCCGCATACTGCAAAAAAAAAAAAAAAAAAGTGCCCACCTTGAAACTCTATTTCAGAGTTTACTATAGGTACCTGGTAAATACTTGTTATTTGAAAAGAATTAGGTGTAACATATCTGACTGTTTTGATCATCCAAATGAAAGAATAATTTTTTAACCTAGTGATGAAACTACTCACTTGTACATCAAAGTACACGTAAAAAATAGCTACTTTAGGAATATTATTATGGAATCCCAACAAGTATTTTATTTCAGATACTAAAATAATGAAGCTAATTGTTACCAATGAAAAAAAAATAGTCCATGGCTCACTCAAAGCAAAAGCAACAAAAGATATATAAATATTGAACATAATCAAAATTTTAAACTTCTGTGCTTCAAAAGAGACCATCAAGAAAATGAAACGACAACTTATAGTATTGAAAAAATGTTTGCAAATCATATATCTGATAAAAATTTATATCTAGACTATATAAAAAGAACTATTATAACCCAACAATGAAAAGACAACCTCGTTTAAAAAATGGGCATAGATCTAAATAGATATTTCTCCAAAGAAGATACACAGATGTCCAATAAAGTACCAGAAAACTCATTCAGCAGCCACCAGGGAAATACAGATTAAAACCACACTGAGGGGCTTCCCTGGTGGCGCAGTGGTTAAGAATCCACCTGCCAGTACAGGGGGCACAGGTTCGAGCCCTGGTCCAGGAAGATCCCACATGCCACACAGCAGCTAAGTCCGTGTGCCACAACTACTGAGCCTGTTCTATAGAGCCCGCGAGCCACAACTACTGAAGCCTGTGTGCCTAGAGCCTCTGCTCTCAACAAGAGAAGCCATCGCAATGAGAAGCCCGCGCACTGCAACGAAGAGTAGCCCCCGCTCACTGCAACTAGAGAAAGCCCATGCACAGCAACGAAGACCCAAGGCAGCCAATAAATTAATTAATTAATTAAATCTATAAAAAACCCCGAGATACCACTTCACACACACTAAAATGGGTATTATCAAAAAATAAAATGGGTATTATCAAAAAGACAAATAATAGGGCTTCCCTGGTAGCACAGTGGTTGAGAGTCCACCTGCTGATGCCGGGGACACGGGTTTGTGCCCTGGTCCGGGAGGATCCCACGTGCCGCGGAGCGGCTGGGCCCGTGGGCCATGGCCGCTGAACCTGCGCGTCCGGAGTCTGTGCTCCGCAGCGGGAGAGGCCACAACAGTGAGAGGCCCGCGTACCACAAAAAAAAAAAAAACAAAAGACAAATAATAACAAGTGTTGGTGAGGGTGTGCAGAAATTGGAACCCTTATACACTAGTGATTGGAATGCAAAATGCTGCAGCCACTTTGGAAAACAGTATGGCAGTTCCTCAAAAGGTTAAACCTAGAGTTACCATATGATTTGGCAGTTTCACTGCTAAGTACATACCAAGAAAAATGAAAACATGTCCACCTAAAAACTTGTTCATGCGTGTTCCAGCAGCGTTATTCATATTAGCCACATAAAAGTAGAAAACAACTCAAATGTCCATTAACTGATGACTATGTGAACAAAATGTGATATTCCACACAATGGAATATTATCGGGCAATAAAAAGATGAAGTTCTGATACATGCCACAACAGAGATGAACATTATGCTAAGCAAAAGAAACCAGATACAAAGACCGTACATTGCATGATTCCATTTATATGAAATGTGCAGAACAAATACATGTATAGAGACAAAAAGTAAATTAGTAGTTGCCTAGGTCCTGTAGACTGGTGGGATTGGGAGGTGATAGATAAGGAGTAGTATGGGGTTTCTTCTTGGAGAAATGAATACATTCTAAAATTGATTGTGATGATAGAGGCACTACTCTGAATATACTGAAAGAAGCCATTGAATTATATACTTTAAATGAATGAATTGTTCGCTCTGTGAATTATGTCTCAATAAAACTGTTTTAAAAAACAATATCATTGCTTAAAGATAACTAATTATTACTCCATTTCCTACAAAGTTTAATCTACAATTCTGGTCTAGTTTTATCATTTAAAATATATCAAAAAGTAATATTTGGGTTTGATTTATTTTAGGGTGTCGTTAATTAGTTAAGTTCATTCTGACTTTCATGAATTGAGTTTAAACTTCTAATGTGTATAGTTTTTCTTAGATCTACATAAATATTTTTATATATACAAGCACACATACGCACACACGTGCAAATATGTAAGCTCCACAAGAACAAACTGTCTCACGTTTACAAATCCATTAACTTTACATATTTCAGTGGAATTTACATTAACTGATTTTAGTGGGAATATTAAGAGTTCATATATTTTTGCCTTAAAATGTATACTGTTATGTTTTTTTCAAATCTTCGTTCAGAAAAGATATGTTTAAAAGTACTTTAAGAAGAGTAGAAATGGTAAGGCAACTTCTAGTTTCAAAAAGTAATTTAAGTTTAATAACCGAAAATATATTTAAGAATTATTCCTAATAATATCTGAGAAAGATTTAAAATTTTCTGTTTTAACATTATTTTCATTCGTATAGTTGTGTGTCTGAACCCTATGAAGTATGTATAGAAATGAGTTCTTCCTGGTTATAAACGCCAGCCTTGGCAACATTATTGCATATAAATGGTCAGTTATACATCTATACTACTACTCATCCCCCACTCACTGACTTTGAGGTTACCTTTTCCCTTCCTTTATTCTCAGCTACCAAGTTTTTCTGGGTCCACATGACAGTTATTAGTGCTGAAACCTGTGTGCTTAAGTATCTGTCCTCTAAGACCTCCTTCCTTTCGTTAGAGGACCATGAGCGCAGTGGTGTGCCCTCCATTTCCCCCTACATTTTACCTCTCACAACTCTGTTCATTTTCATATGTAATCTCTTTCTCAGGTTAGCATATTTTATCTTTAACTCCTTTCTTTCCTCTTCTGTTCCACATTTTACCTGGTTTTCAGTCTCCTGCCTCCCATTCCACCTTCATCACCCTCTCCTGTTCATTTGGAAGTCCCTGCCCCTACGAGATTAACCTCAGTTAAGACTGACACCCTAAGACATATAGGGTGATGCTCTTGTAATAAGGGAACTTTAATTTAAAACAATGAAATCACATGTAAGTGTCAATATTTTAATGCTCTAAGAGCTTAAGTTTCTTTCAGGATATCCATAAATCTCTTTCATTACTTCATTCTTCTTTAATTAAATCTTTAACTCATGCATTCAGGATAATTTTCCTATTGCCGTATAATTGGTTTTCTGTTTTAATTAACTGATAGCATTACAATAGTATTGCTTTAGAATTGTTTTGTGTAAATGGATAGTTTTCCAAATACAGTATGGGCTAAATATACTTGGGTTGGTTGACCTGATAACCTAACTTTTGCATATACTTGTGTTTCTGTATTTAAAAGACATTCTGATTTTGAAGCTACTGCCTCCTTATCATCTTGGAGATAATTTATTTCCAACTTAAAAATATCTTTAATTTTCATCCTTACCTTTTTCCACTATAGAACTGAAATATCCAAATTCCTTCACAGGAATATACTTCACAGGAGTAATTACAGTGTACTCTATTGTTAGTATATTTTCAATCTTAAGAGTAGTAAAATGAAATATAATATAAAGTAGTTTGAAAAGTCAGAATAATGTCCTATGGCTTTATTTCTCTAAGTTTAGTTTTAGATTATCATTATCTCTTGGCAAGAACTAACTTCCTAGGAAGCAGTGAGTTTGAATTTATGTTAAGAAATGAAATTAAATTCTTCCAAGGATACCAGTAAGTTCCTCCTGCCTCTTACCAATGCACAAAAAAATCTTCCACAGTGGGTATAGAGTTTCAGTTTTGCAAGATGAAAAAGAGACCTATTGCACAGTAATGAGCATATAGTAAACACTCCTATAGTGTACACTTCAAAATGGTTAAGATGATAAGTTTTATGTTATGTGTTTTTTACCACAATAAAAAAAATGCTTAGCCATTAATGAAAAAACGAAAACAACCTCCCCTATCCTTTCTTGAGACATAAATTCTTCCCTGGGTGCTCTTCTGGACTCCTAAATTGATATAAAAGTTCTGGTAGTCATTTAACAGTGTATTTTGAAAAACCTATTACATAGAAAAAAGTACAAAAGTAAGCAAAGATGTAGTTACTAGATTGCTAATTCCAGCATTTTTCCTAATAGTAAGAAATTGGAATGACCATAAATGTGTAACTGTATGGAATTGGTTTTGTAAATAATGGAATATTTATGCATTGAAGCAAATTCCATCACTGAACAATAAATATAGCTCCTCATTTGCCTATACGGAAAGTCATTTATCATATATATTGAAGTGAAACTAAGCAAAATATCAAGTAAAATGTCTAATATGAGCCTCTTTTAAAATAACATGTGTACGTAAGCATACATGCATATGTATATACTACATGTGAACAGTTTGAAAGTTATTAGCATGTTGTAGTTATCTCTTAATGTTGGCATTTTAGATATTCTTAATATTTTGTTCCTTTTTGTTTATTTGTATTTTCAATTTTTAATAATCATTGTGGTGTACTTAAAATACTTAAAAGTGATATTTAGGAGGTAAAATCGGAAAGACTATTACTAATTAGATAAGAGAAAGAAGGATAATAGATGGTATCATCAGCTGGGAATGTAGAAGAAACCCTAGGTTTCCCTGAAGAAATAAAATGAATTGAGTTTGGGCATTTTATATTTGAAGTACCTCCCAGTTGAAATGTCTCTTAAATAAGGTAAAGTCTGTAGGGCCAGGAGAGGTGCTGGAACCAGAGGGTGGAGATTAGGGGTTTATTTAGTTGAAATGGTTGATTTGAATAAATGTGTCCTCTGAGAACAGATAGATTGAAAGCTATAGACACTTTTCAGAAAAATACATACATATTCACAATGTTTTATACATAGAATCAGGACCTTCACAGACACCCCTCCACAGAAATCTATTGTGAAAATATTATCTGGACACAGTGAACCCAGTTTAAAAATTCTTGTCACATTTCATTTCTCTAATGTTATGCTTGGGGAAAATGAGGCCCACGCAGATTAAATGAATTGCTTGAAGTCAGTTTAGCTGATTCAGGCCCTATGTTATCATCCATGTCCTTACTCAAATATTATATTACCAAATAATTGTATTCTGACCTTAAGAGTATAGTATTTTTTTAATGTTAAAATACAACATAGCACTAGAAACATTGTAAAACTTATGGCAGCCATTGAAAATTAACTTTAGAAGTTCCTGTTTTCATTGCTGTTACCAAACATGAAACTTTCCTGTCAGAACCAGAAGGAAAACTATAGTGATCAAATTTCTTGGCAGGTAGCCTTCCTACATTTTCTCAAAAGTATTTTTGTTGTTGTTGTTGTTGTTGTTTTCGGTTCTGTGAATTAATTTGCATTCATAGCCTTGCCTCTGTAACCCTTGAGACTTCAGTTTCTTATCCATAAAACTCATATAGCATATACTTCTACCTTGTATCATTCAGTGTTTGTTTTTGTTTTAATCCTGAGGGACCACTTTTGGCCAATTGAATCTATTTATCCATCTGACTTACGCTAAATCTTTTCAAATGAATTGGCTTTAAAGTTTTATCTGATTGGGAGAAAAAAGAGAGGGAGTAAAAACTAAAGAAAGACGCCTCATACTGTAGGTTCAGGCTCCTGTTTTTCTTAAGTAAACATATATTTTAGTCTTTCACACAGACTAGTTAATGTAGAAAAACCAAGTCATACTTTTATGTCACATCACTTTTTCATGCACAAAGGCGATGTTAGTTTCCTTAATAACTGACAAGTAGTCCTTCATTTTCTTAATTCATTTAATTGTTTTACGCTTTCAATATAATTTGCCATTTATGCCTATGGTTTGTGTGCTGACACTCAATGAAAAGGTGCTGAGTTGAACTTTTTCTTTGCTTTCTGTGTACTGTCCCAGGAGCAGGCTTCCTGGGTATGTCAGTGTGATGACAACATGGTTCAGAGACTAGAAACAGACTTCAAGATGACTCTTCAGCAGCAGAGCACCCTGGAGCAGTGGGCTGCATGGCTTGACAATGTGATGATGCAAGCACTGAAACCCTATGAAGGAAGACCCAGTTTTCCTAAAGCTGCCAGGCAGTTTCTGCTAAAATGGTCTTTCTACAGGTATCGTCTCAATTTTTCCTATTCTGCAATTATATATGTACATACTTCTCAGAAAAAAAGCAAAGAAAGGAAGACTTTAGTTTGCAGAAACTCCATGTTGTGATTATCTTCAACCCAACTCATGACTACAGCATCATGGAATTGTACCAGGAAGCTTATGGAAATAAAATTCCTGCTAGGAAAGGAAAGGCTCTTATTCAAAGCCCTATAAGTTCTCAGATGGGAACATCTGAGATCCCAGTCTAGATAAGATGTTTAGCAACAGTCAAAAAAGGACTACAGTCCTCCTTCTCGCAAACGTGTATTATTTAGTCTTCTTTCTTGAGCCCTTACCACCACTCTTCTTCTCTAGTTCAGGGATTCTCAAACTGTGGTTCGCTAGACCAGTAGCATCACTATTGCTTGGAAACACATTAGAAATGCATATTTTCAGACCCCTCCCCAAAATGTACCTGAATCAGAAACTGCAGAGGGGAGGCCCAGCAATCTGTGCTTTTTAAAGTATCGTCCACGCAGTTCAGATGCATACTCAGAACCACCTAGTTAATTTCTTAATTTGATCAATTACAATTGTTTTCAAACCTAGCTGCACCTCAGAATTAGTGGAAAGAAGAGCAAAACAAAACTCCTAGGTATCTCCCAAAAACTCCTGAATCAAAATCGTGGTGGTTAGAAAGTAGTGATTAGGAGTAGGGATAATCAGAAATTTTTTTTTTCAAAAAGCTTACTCCTGGTGATTCTAATGCGTAGCCAGTTTAATATCGAATAATCTAGTAATACAAAATGAATCACTTTTTGACTAAAAGGATATATATATGTGTGTGTGTGTGTGTGTGTGTGTGTGTGTGTGTGTGTGTGTGTGTAAATGTATGTTTTTCTAGACATAGAAGAACCCCAGCAGAGAAAGATTACTTGATATATAATATCAACTGTTGGGGTGAACCATTGACCATAGGTCTACACCAGGGGTTAAAAAACAGAACCTGTGTGAGTTGGCATATATACTATATATGAGACATAGGATGGAATTGACAGAGTTCCATTTCTTAAGCTAAGTTACGTAAGTCGTATTTTTGACCCCAGAATTTATTCTTGTGATGGGAGTTCATTTCTTTGCTTCTTTAGATAATGGTGGCCTCACTGGCTCGGGCCGAAAAGCCATGTCTACTTTGAGGTTTAGGCAGTCCCTAATTTAGTTCCTGTGCAACCATGCACACATCAAAGTAGTGACTACAGGACATACCACTGACTGTGGCTGTGAGTACCCTATGGTCATCATCTGGACCTCAGTGGTGAGTCCAAAGCAGTTGTGAGGAGAGAAGGTATAGAAAGAAGTAGCAGAGTTTAGAGACTAGTAGAAATTCTGAACCCAGTAAGCCCAAATTACAGGATTTCCATCTTGTTTTGACCACCTTGATAAAGATGGAACCAGAGATCTTTTAATTATGATGGTAGTTGCTTGGTTTTTATTGTGACTTATTTCTTTCTCAACAGATTTGGTCCAATTCTTATTTCTTAAACTGAAGTAGAGGTATAGATTCGCTGTATATGTTTAATTAGGAGTTAAATTATCCTTACATCCTGAAAACCGTTTTCTAGTGTCTAGCCCAGGGTTAAATGCAGTGAAAGAAAGTCTACCAGTTTTGTGTTGTTGTTTTGTTTTTGTTTTGGGGACGGAATAATTCCACAGTTCTGTCTCTCATATATTTAGTGCTTTTAGTCCGTATGATTTGAAAAGCACCTTATTATGGTGCTGTCTAACTCTGTGACCCACTGATATGCTTCATTAAAGCCAGTCCTAGGTTTAGATCTGGGTGTCAGTGAGCAATCTGTTGATGATATGAGTTTTCCTTTGATATATGGGGAAGATTTGGAAAACATTATCACAGTATTCTCAAAGTAGATGTAGAAATAGTAGTATTAATAGTAGAATTCAAAATTTTAATTTGGGAACATTTCTTAAGATTTCAGATATTTTCCCATTTGCTTGCAAGTTGATTTCATCCATTTTTTTTCCTCAGAAAATCATATAGATGGTATATGTGCTTCATGAATGATGAAACAGAAGTTATACTAGCTGTTGTTCCAAAACCTATATGACCAAAAGCAGAGTGCATCCTCTATATCAGAAAAAATCAAGGTTTTTTTTTTTTCTTCTTACTGCTTTCTTATGTCATTACATCAGACTTGCCCTTACTCCTTCCTGAGGACTTTTTTTTCTATGTTTAGTTGATATCATTTTAGAAATACACTCCTGGAGCCTTTGTCTCCACAGAGATTTGTTGCAGGTATCTTGACAGAAAATTACTTACTTGTATTTCTTGTTATCTGCAGATATACAAACCCAGTAGATCATCACTTGCCTGCCCTCTGTCCTCCCTCAGTTGGGGATAGTTGGCTTGTTATTGTTAGGCACTATTATGGTTATTATTTTCATTTCAAGAAGTCTTGAAGGCGTATACTTCAGGGCCACAGAAGGAAAGGCATATTCAGACAGATGCATACCTCCTGCTGGTAGGCGAGGTCAATAACTTAGAAACTTAAGAGCCTCTAAAATCTGACCTTTTTTTACCAAGGCATAAGAACATATTGAGTAATGAAAACTGCATTCACAAACAGAAGCAGAATTACAGAGTATTTTTTTTTAATGTTTTTGGCTTTTTTAATAAGATTTGGCAAAAAAAAAAAAGAATTTGGCAGTCACATATGTCAACCCTTCATTTTCTGAAGTTGATTAATCTCATAATTTCTAAAATTCTGTGTATATATTTATATGCATACAAATAAAGAAATGGACTGGCAGAGAATCATGATAGCAGCAGTTGACATGTTGCTGCAGACACCCTCTGCTCCAAACGGGGGTCTCTCCTTGCCTAACCTGGCTTTAAATGACTACTGCTGGCTCCCTGAGAGGTGGAAAAAATATCACCACCTTTCTTGGGCAGAAATGTAGAAGTTAAGTGGGCCATTTCTCAGCTTGTGTGTTTTGTGGATAACGGAACACAGAATTCCTCAGGGTCACCCTGAGGGTCAACCAAGTATCCCATTTTTAAAAATGAAATTTATAGCTTCGATACAGTGACTTGAAAGGGGGCACAGAGAACCTAGTTTGCCTACAATTGAACAATATATAAATCTTCCAAAAAGTAATACTCTCAGAATCAGCTATAAGCACTGTTTGAGAAGAGAGTTCACGGTACGGGGGAGGGGGTGGTCACAGGTGCGACGTTCTCATCTTTCTTCTTTGGAAGGGTGTGATGTATCCCCAAATACATAAAGAGGTGGATTGAGTATCATGTGTTTGGGGATATGTTTCATTTTCCACACCATGAGTTATAAAGATAAATACACAAAGGTATTTCTCATCCATTATAAAATAATTAACATTTATAACTCTGATTTTAAAAGGAGTTGAATTCATGGTAACTTAGCAACATGAAATTCAGTGGAGTCAATTTTGCAGCATATCTTACAGAAGTCTGAATCAGACAATAGGTTTCCAATTAAACTGTTAATTGTGTCATTTGATACTTGGCTTGTAGGGCAGAAGCCCAACACAGAGAGCATGAAGCAGACATAGCATTAATAATATAATTCAACTGATTCTTTTCTAAACATATGACAATAATTTCTTAACATGCTTATCAGTATTTTTAAAAATAACTAGGTATTATAACTGAAGGTCAGCACCCCTATTTTTTTTAATTTTCCAACAGAATTTCCTATTACATGTGTACTTTATGCTGAAATACGGTGATTGCCCAGTTGTCAAATAGAATCCAAAAGCCTTAGCATGGCCTATAAGACCCTACATGGTCCAGCTGCTAGTGACCTCCAGGTCCCACCGTGTATTCTCTTTGCTCACGTCCTCCAGCCACACTAGTCCTTGGAATAAAACAAACATAGTTCTGCCTCAGTCTCTGTATTTGCTCTCCTTTCTGCCAGGAAAGCTCACATGTTCACACGGCTCACTCCTTCACTTCAGTCTCGGTTCTGCTCAAGATATCACCTCCTCAAAAAGAGTTTTCCTGACACCCTAACTTAAAGTGCCGGCACCCATCACTCGCCAATCTCTTAACGTGACTTATTGTTTTTCATAGGGTTTAATCACTACCTAACTTTATATTTTATACCTACTCTGTTTTTATCAACTGTCTGTCCTACTAGAATGTGAGCTCTGTTGAAGCCAAATTTTTGTCTGACTTGCTCTAGAACAAGACCCTGGCACAGAGTAGGAACACAATAAATAGCTATTGAATGAATTAATATGAATTCTCTTGGAATAAAAGAATTGACTTTGCATTTTGTTTAATAATATCAGAAAGCTACTCAGTATGTATATTCTTCTTAGTCATTTACATTATTTTAAGGGAAATATAAAGCCCTAAAAGTTGAATTTTGAAATATATATATAATTCATTCTATATCTGTGATATTTATCCCTGCAAAGATTTATTGACATTCAACCGGCCCACGATTCTTCTGTGTTACAATGAATATCTTCTTTTTAAAATAAACAATTTTTGGATTATGAAATTAGTATATACTCACTTTAGAAAATCTGGGAAATACAAATACTATAAAAAGAATAAACTTAAATCATCCATAATTTTACTACCCAGAAATAACTACTGGTAAAATGTTTTCTTTCAGTGTTATATAAAATTGAGATCCAATTGTTTATCAGAGTTTATTATCTGTATTTTTCCCTTAACATTTTTCATTTAACATTATACCTTAAGCATATCTTAAGAAACATAATTTTTAATGTCCTCACAGTATTTCATTTTGTGTATGTCTCATACATAATTTAAACATCCTGTTTGTCTCTTATTCTTGAGTATTTAGGTGGTTTTTGGTCTTGTGATACAATTATAAAAAATACTGTAACGATTATCTTTGTATAAAGTTGCACATTTATCTTCAGATAAATTGAAATAAATTTGTACTTTTTAAGGTGACTAATACTATTTTAGTGAAGTGTGCTATCTCGATGCTTATAATAAAGTATTAAACATTCCCATTTATTTAGGGATAGGATTTTTTTAAGAATTATATTGATAGTTTCTATGTTAAATGGGCTCATATTATACTTTTTAGTTCTTGCACTTAACATTATATCATTGACATCTTTCCAAGTTACTGCCTATATGTGTACTCTCCCTCATTTCTTTAAACTTTTATATAAATTTACATATATGAATGAACCATTTTTTTTTGCTTAGTATCCTACAAATGGATATTTAGTGTTGCCCCCTATTTTCTCACCAGTATAAATATTGCTGCAATTAAAACTATCTTTGCTTATTTGTGTAAATTTCTAGAATTAGAACTGCTAGGTGATCACACCAGTCAGAATGGCCATCATCAAAAAATCTACAAACAGTAAATGCTGGAGAGGGTGTGGAGAAAAGGGAAGCCTCATACACTGTTGGTGGGAATGTAAATTGATACAGCCACTATGGCAAACAGTATGGAGGTTCCTTAAAGAAACTGAAAATAGAACTACCATATGACCCAGCAATCCCACTACTGGGCATATACCCAGAGAAAACCATAATTCAAAAAAACACATGCACCCCAATGTTCATAGTAGCACTATTTACAATAGTCAGGACATGGAAGCAACCTAAGTGTCCATCGACAGAGGAATGGATAAAGAAGATGTGGTATATATATATATATACACATATATATACACAATGGAATATTACTCAGCCATAAAAAGGAATGAAATTGGATCATTTGTAGAGACGTGAATGGACCTAGAGAGTGTCCTAGAGATTGTTCATACAGAGTGAAGTGAGAAAGAGAAAAGCAAATATTGTATAATAACGCATATATGTGGAATCTAGAAAAATGATATAGATGATCTTAGTTGCAAAGCAGAAATAGAGAAACAGACGTAGAGAACAAATGTATGGATACCAAGAGGGAATGGGGTGGGGTGGGAGGAATTGGGAGACTGGGATTGACACATATACATTATTGATGCTATGTATAAAATGGATAACTGATGGGAACATGCTGTATAGCACAGGGAACTCACCTAGTGCACTGTGATAACCTAAATGGGAGGGAAGTCTAAAAGGGAGGGGATATCTGTACGTGTATGTCCCATTCGTTTTGTTGTTCAGTGGAGGCTAACACAGCTTTGTAAAGCAACACTGCTCAGCCATAAAAAGGAACGAAATTGAATTATTTGTAATGAGGTGGATGGACCTAGAGGCTGTCATACAGAGTGAAGTAAGTCAGAAAGAGAAAAACAACATATGCTAACACATATATATGGAATCTAAAAAAAAAAAAAAAAGGTTCTGATGGACCTAGGGGCAGGACAGGAATAAAGACTCAGATGTAGAGAATGGACTTGAGGAGACGGGCAGGGGGGAAGGGTAAACTGGAACAAAGTGAGAGGGTAGCATTGACATGTATACACTACCAAAGGTAAAATGGATAGCTACTGGGAAGCACAGGGAGATCAGCTCTGTGCTTTGTGACCACCTAGAGGGGTGGGATAGGGAGGGTGGGAGGGAGACGCAAGAGGGAGGGGATATGGGGATATATGTATACATATAGCTGATTCACTTTGTTATAAAGCAGAAACTAATACACCATTGTAAAGCAATTAAACTCCAATCAAGATGTTAAAAAAAAAAAAAAAACAACATTGTCAGAGAGAGAGCCTGCTTGTATTTTGTAAAAACAACAACTAGAAAACACTACTAGGTGAAAGCATTTGTGCATTTTTAGTTTCGACATGTGTTGCCAAATTTCCCTTCATAAATGTTTTGTGAATTTATGCTTGTAGAAACAGCAAATGAGAGTTCTTTCCCCATACCCTCTCCAACACTGATCTTTTAATGTCTTATAGTATAATAGATGATATATGGTATCTTACCTTTAATTTACATTTCTTTTAATTTTGAATAAGATTAGTCACATTTTTGTATACTTGTTAGCCATTAGTCTTCTCCAGGCTGTATTTTAAATAGCTGCTGTCTTTCTTCAGCAAGAGATGTGTACTTAGGAGTGAATATTCCACCCCATATTATTTAATTTTTCAAAATTATTTACTTCACATGATCAAATTTGGATATATGTAAAAATGTTAGGCAACTTTTTATTGTTATTTTTATGTTGTTTTTGCTTTTGCTTTTTAAAGTAGAGGATTCTCTGCCTGTTAAAATTTGTTCCATAGGAAAATAAAGTTTAATTTCAATGGCTATTAAATTTATAATAATTATTTTTATGAATAGGTGATGTGTTACTGAGTTTTGGGAAAAGCATGCATCGAATTATAACAGAATTTTGTCATTATATCTTTGACATATAAGTGAAAGTGTTAATTTATTTTTAGTGATTCTCTTATAGAGTTCCAAACTTAAGGTATTCATTAAAGTATTTGACTCTAAGGAATCATTCACCAGTACTACTTTTTATGATAATGAGTATATTATTAACTCCAACATATGGAATAGTATAGTAATAGGTAGTTTTGCTTAAGGTTTCACATACATTATCTCATTTGACTCTCAGGCTAATCTTGAACCTTTAAATGTTAAATGACATACTCACAATCAAGATCACATGGTGGTTAACATGGATCTAACTCCAAACCCATGCTTTTTTTCTGTTTAGTAAATAGATCCACAGAATGAGAGACATCTGCCATCATCATATAGTAACACCTGTTCTTGCTGTCGTAGCCAAATGAGAGTCAGAAGCTCAGCTCCTCCTGTTTTGTGTATTAGGATCATAATCACTTATATTTGAGTCTTGTTCTATTCATTCATAAGTCTATTTCACAACCTTTAACACATTTTGTCCTTGAAATCGTCACGCAAATTAGGTAAGACCAAAAGTACTGCTTTCACTTTCACCCAAAAGGAAAAACACTCTCATGGAAATGATTTTTTTTTTTGAGATTCATAGTGAATTAATGAAGAGCCAGGATCAGAATCCAGGGCTTTAGAGTTTTAGATGTACAAGGATGATCTGTCACTTGCCAAGTTGAATGTGTAGAATTTGATATATTACTAGCCTCTATATAAATAAGGTTGAAAATGAAACAGAAATGTAGTCTTCTGTTTTTCCATCTGTCTGGCATTTTACAATTCTTCATTGCAAAATAAGGCCTAGGAATATCAGCCCATACATTTGTGAGATTCTATCTCCTCCTCCTATCAGAGAATATAATGCCTGTTTTAGTTTGCATAGGACAGAAATCTCTAGAAAAGGACACTAAATGAAAGTGAGGAGAGACACACACACACACACACACACACACACACACACACACACACACACA